TTTGGGGGGTCTGGTCGTGTGGCCTGAACTCTGGGCCTGGGCACTGTCCCTCAGCTCTTCAGCTCAAGGATAGTGCTCTACCACTTGAGCCACAGTGCCACTTCCTGGGAATGGCTTAGGAAAGCAGCACCTGCAAGAAAGAGCTGTGTGGGACATGGCCCTAAGGTTAGTGTTTAATCCACTTCATATGATTGATCTTGTCTACCCATAACCTATGGAATTTCAGTAGGGAAAGCCAGATTGGAAGCCCCAGAGTGCTTGAAATCTCAGGAATTCAGTCTCAAGCCTCCACTGGAGGCCTTGACTTTTGCATTTAATGTGATCCCAGCCCATTGCTGAACATCACTGATCAAATGAAACAGTGATACTGGCCTTGTGTGTTTGGTGTTAATTGAAGTAGCACATCTTCCTGCCCTGTCCATGGGGCTTGAATAAATACATGGTCATAGATGGTGAGGCCGTATTCTGGGTGGGCTTTATGCTTCTGTAATTCACTTGGCTACGCCACAGGATAGCCAATGTACCCAGGATAACAAGGAGCCCTTGGCTCTTCTGTGGTATATTCTCCCATATGATGTATTTGCCTTTGCCTCTTCTAATCTTAGATAACTCATGACTGTTGGAGTTGTACTGATATTTTTGTGTGAGTGTATGTGTATGTGTTGTGTGCCACTACTGGCAATTCAACTTAGGGCCAATGTATTTTCAGTTAGCTTTTGCATTCAGTACTACTGCACTACCACATGAGCCTGAGCTCCCCTCTCTGCTCTTTGCTGCTCAATTTGCAAGAGAGTGTGACTTGTCTGCATTGGTTCCTTAGAATCTCCATCTTCACATCTCATTCTCTTGAGTAGCTTGCATTACAAGCAAGAACCCTGACAGCCTAGCTTCAAAGTGGATTTTTCCCCTCTAGCTGGTTATATGACCTAAAGGTCTACATTTCTGTGGTTTTTCTAGACCCTTCTTCTGCCACTTGTTAACATTTTCTAAGTTGTATATTTGAAACCAACCTCATAATTTATGTCTTCTATCACATTGTTGATCCATGTTTATTCTATGAGCTTATATAATCTCGTTTTCCTTCCTACTCGGGGACCCTGATAGTTATCCTGTCCTTAAACCTTTTCCTTACCCTCCCCTGTGACCCACACAATTCAGTTGCTTCTTTCCAATGCAACCTTTGATTCCAACCTCTATCCAAAATCATGCAAAACTTTGGAAATATCAAAGAACTCAAATGGATTCTTCATTAATCTTTTTTTTTTTTTTGGTCCGTTCGTGGGGCTTGAACTCTGGGCCTGGGTGCTGTCCCTCAGCTCTTCAGCTCAAGGCTAGCACTCTATCACTTGAGCCACAGCACCACTTCCGGCTTTTTTCTTTTTGCTTATGTGGTGCTGGGGAATCAAACCCAGGGCCTCAGGCATGCAAGGCAAGCACTCTACCACTGAGCCACCTTCCCAGCCCTTCTTCATTAATCTTATACTCAATTCCATTACATTTAATTCAATTTTATTGAGTTTAAGTACATTAAAATAATTTTATTCTATCAAAAACTATGTATATCAATATATCTAATAAGTCTATATCAGTGTTTATATCTTTGTATATAAATATATACGGGAAAATAGCTGGTATTCAATATGGTTCCCACAATCTCAGCAGCTATTACATTACATAGCCGTAATATTGAGAAACTTCCATATCTCTTTGCCTCTGAGCAAAAAACTGCAGTTTCCCCAAAGCAGTGTATTGGGCAGCAATTTCACGCTCTTTCTGGGCCCGCCTTTTCATGGCTTCACGCTCTGGCCTCTGCTCCTTGGTGATGGGATTTGATACTACTGGCCCAGGAATATCAGGTTTCCTCCATGGAATTGGTTGGCGGCTGAAGTCTTGGAGTAGATACTGGCTTTGAGGTTTAGGTGGTGACTGGAACTTGGTCCCAGAAGTTGACACAGGCTTCTGCTGCAGAGAAGTGGAAGATGATGTTTTGTAAGGTTCAGGCCTAGCAACAGTAGATTGAGACACACTAGGCTGGGGAGTGGTGGTCAATCCCTGTTTGATTGTTTTGGCTGCAATTGGCTGTGATGTTTTGGTGGAGTCTATGAAGCATGTGTTGGCAGTAGCTGGTTGAGATCGACTGACTGCAGTAGGCTGAGCTGTGTTAGAACAAGGGAGAGCACGGTAAGGTACAGTGGGTCTCCGGGAGGCCAGAGACTGTGGCCTGCGAGAAACAGGTCGAGCTTGAGGCTTCTCTGGGGCTAGAAAAGGCAAAGGAACCAGCTTGACCTTCCCAGGTGGAGGCAGCTCATCCTGGGTTGGTGATGGACACTGGCTTTCACTCCTATCCCTTTTCTTGACTTGAGTAATTTTAGGGCCTTTGCCCTCATGGGGAATACCCAGCCGGGATTTCACAGCTGGAGTGGACTTGGTTTCTTGTGTGCTGCTGGCATTTCTCAAGGCCTTGGGGGAAGGCAGTTCCTTTTTCTTCTCACTTTTCTTCCCTAGTGCATGGAAAACCTGCACTGACTCCCACATCTGCACGCCTAGGTTGGTTCGAGGCCTTTTGAAGGTCTCTTGGCTAAGCTCAGGGTGACTTCTCTTGTGCTTGGTCTTGGGAATGCTTGTCTTTTCTTCTTTTTTGATTTTGTTCCCTGGCTGCTTGGTTTCATCACATTTCTTGGGGTGGTTCTCCCTGATCCTTTTGGTCTCTTTCTGTGCATGGCTCTTAGTTTTGCTGACCTTGCTGGATGCAGCTTTTGGAGATTTGCTGTCAGAATGCTTGTCTGTGTTCACGGAAGCCTGGTCACTGGATGGGATGGTGCACACAGTCACCTCTTCCTCCAGCAGGAGCTCTGGGGGCTGGCATTCGACTTTGACCTCAGGAGTTCCATCCACACTTTCCAAGGCTTCATGCTTGTTCCTTTGGACTTGACCAGTGGAATGCTTAGTGACCATTGAGTTTTCCTGCAGGAGAATCTCATCGATGGTTTCTTTATCTTTGATATCGGTTGTAGTAGAAATATTGGATGGTTTGAGATCTGTGAAGGAATTTAAAGTCTGGTTAAAATGAATGTCTTTCACCATCACAGCACTCTGTTAAGCCCACCCATTGTTACAGTCAATTCCATTTTTCCTCAAGACAAAAAAATTCCCAAATTGGTCCTATCATGTGTAGGCTTCTTTCTCCCTTGTCCCTACTTAGTTACTGTTGACCTGCAGCTGCTAAATGTTAGGAATTTCTGAAGAGAGTAACGGGGCATCCTGGCTTTCTATTATTTTTGGAAGGCAACAGAGTCTTTGAAAGTTTGTTCTGAATTTCATTCGAATGTTTATTCTGTGTTTATGTATGGCTTTGCTGGAAGCACAGCCATGGTATTAGAAGAGCTTAATAATATATCTCTTATTGAAATGTCTCCAAGGTCAGGTGATACATAGTTTTCTCAATTACTTCAGCATTTATGCTTTTAGGCCTTGGAGCTCTCTGGAATTCCTGGTTGACAAAATTTTTTTACTTGGGAGCTGCAATTTTAAGGAAGTGTGCATATCCATGGATGTTTCTAGCAGTCCAAAGAAATCAAGGTCGAAATCAGTTCCTTGTACGTGTTCCATTTACACACCAATAATTTAATGGATTTTTCATCACTTGGCAAGGTGTTTTTAAGATCCAGTGTTAAGGATCATGGACAGAACTCTAAGTCAGAAGATATATAATAACCATATAAAATGTGCTAATTAGATGACATCATTTCTTTTCTTTTTCCTTTATAGGTTTGTTGTAAGTGAAATAAAAAATGAAAGAAGCTTTAAAAATAGGAAATGAATCCCAGTAGCAGTTGCTCATGCCTGTAATCCTAGCTACTTAGGAGGCTGAGATCTGAGGATTGCAGTTCAATGCCAGCCTGGGCAGAAAAGTCCATGAGACTCTTATCTCCAATAAACCATCAGAAAACTGGAAGTGGCACTGTGGCTCAAGTGGTAGAGCACTTGCCTAGAGCTAAAGAGCTGAGGGATAGTGCCCAAGTCTAGAGTTCAAGCCCCATGACCGACAAAAAAAAATAAAGGAAGAAAGAAATTATTTGAATTTCTTGTTAGGTCAGAGATAGAGTGATTGCTTACTATGTACTTGACTCTGTGGTCAAACCCATGAACAACAAAAAATTACTTTATAAAGCCTCATATTTTTATACTTGTTACTCAGATAGGTGTTGATTCTAACCCTGAATTGAGAGAACGGGAGTGGGGGGAAGAAATCTTTATTGTGTTTGTGTGCATTTCTGTGTGTCTGTGTATGAATGCACGCACGTGTGCGTGCATGTATGCACACATACATACACAATGCTTCTGGAGCTTTAACTCAACCTTTCTTCTTTTGCTGCTCGACTTTTTGTTAGGGCTGCTGCAATATTTTATTTAGGTGTCTAAGTACATTTGTTTGTGAACTGAAAATAAGATGTAGAAAGACTTTTCAAAGTATCTTTGGAATTCAATCCTCAGATGTCAGTCTCCTCAGTCAGTAGCTAGGCCACAAGCATGAGCCACTGGTGCTGAGCTCAAGAGTAGACTTCCTGGGCTGGGAAGCTGGCTCAGCGGTAGAGTACTTGCCTTGCATGCCTGAGGTCCTGGGTTCGACTCCTCAGCACCACATAAGCAAAAAGAAAAAAGCCGGAAGTGGCGCTGTGGCTCAAGTGGTAGAGCATTAGCCTTGTGCTGAAGAGCTGAGGTACAGCGCCCAGGCCCAGAGTTCAGGTGCCACAACCGGACCCCCCCCCACCCAAAAAGAAAGAGTAGACTTCCTGCCTACAAAATACACAAAATATACATCCTCTGACCTGTTGTCTTACTACCACAAATAATTTTTGATATATTTTCCAATGAAACCAAAGAACTAGGTAAAGAAGGGATTAATTAGAGGGAGTGGATTTTAAGGACATTGAGCAGCATGGCCTCACTGAGTGTGCTTTTGGTGACACTAAGGGCAGCACAGCTGTCCTTCACACTTTTCCATAAACTCTTATGTATTTATTTAATTATCCAATGAAACTAATGGCAGTACTGAGGTCTGAATTGAGTTCAGAGCTCCATCATTTGAGCTATACTCTCAGCCCTCTCTGGCTTATGCCTAAAAATAGAGGTCACTTTGTGAGTGAGGTGGTAGAGGCTCTGGACTTAAAACTATATTTGTGAGCTCTCCACTACTCAAATGCAGATTGGCTCCTCCTTTTATAAGCTACTAATCCTATTCCTTTTTGCTATCTGTGCTTACCTTGGAAATTGGTTTCTGTGTTAGGTTGAGCAGACACAGAGTAGTAGATTCCAGAAGTGGAGACTGGTGGTAAGACATCTGTAGGCTGGACCTCTTCTAGTGTCATCACTATTTCTGGCTGAGGAGCAAAGAACCCACTCCCTGTGTAGGTCACAGAGCCATATGATTGCAGGCAGGGACCAGGCTCTCCAAATAACAGAGGGCCCATAGTGTTTTGATTATAGTAGTAAACCTGGTTTCTTGGTTGGTAGGGAAGTAATATGCTACTCTCTTGATGTGGAATCTGAGATAATGTCCCCTGAACCAGGCTGCCAGACAGTGATGGATACAGAGGGACTATGGCATTGGCATCCACATATCGTGGTGTCACAGCCATTGAAGGGACTGCTGTGCCCTGGTTGAGAGTCACAGTGAAGTCTCTAAGTTCAGATGACTTCTTTTTAGTGTGTCCTGTGTACTTCCTTTCAAAAGTACTGGGACAGGAGGAAGCTGAAGTGCAGATGTGGTTCTGGCCAGTAACGCCTGTCAGCATGGGTGTGCTAGAATGTTGGTAAAGATAGGCAGTACCCGTGAGTGGCTGGAAAGAGATGCCAGAGGTTGATGGTAGTGGCCATGTTGAAGTGAAGACTGGAGTTGAGGCTCCGGAGAGGTTGTAGACATGTCCTGCTAGAGAAGTCGCATCGCTCACCACAGGAACAGAGAGCTGTGGTGAGTTTGCAGTTCCAAGTAGAGATGGATGTTGGAAATTGTCTGCAAGAAGCAAGAGGGTGGTCAAAAGTCAATGAGATTGACCAACTCCCACTTTATTTGAGGAGCAGTATATTTGAGGCTGGCTATGATCAGAAGCCCTCTAATACCAACAATCACTGACTTATCAATGATCAGTTTATAAGCCAAAACCATTTTTATTCTTCTGATGAACTTTCCCAAACTGTGCAACAGAAGACAGCAAGTGGTTCCTGTGTTGTTTTCTGCGTAGACACAGGCTTCTCCTTTGCTTCTCTGTCTTTCCCTTAGTCTGCACTTGTATTTGCTCCTAACTATGTCCTAGCATGGAATCATTTTAGATTTCAGATATCCTTAGAGAACTTTTTAGAGTTCAGGAGTAAGGAGACTGAGAGTTAGAGGTCAGCCTGATACATTTGAGTATTTCCTTCACATTGCTATGAACACCATGTTATAAAGTGTGAGTATGTGAACAATGCACAGAAATCACACTTTTTGTGCACCAGTTTTTGTTGTTCATGAGAAAACAGTGATGCTGTTTTTATTGTTGTTCTTTTTGTGTCACCTTGTACAATTCACAAGCCATTTTGAAGAATTTACTTAAAACACAGATGAGAAGCCATCTAAAGTCAGAACTTTTCAGGTTTGCCTTCTAAGCTGAAGTCAGAGTTATTTTCTCAAGAACTTTTTGCCAGAAACCTGAACCTTTATGAATTTCTTATGAATGACATTGTATACATGCTAATAGTAATAATAGTGAGTAATGAATAAAAGTGACATATATGACTGATATGAACAAGATGTCAGTTCTGAAAAGATCGACAGCATTTAAAATTATGATACATAATTAGATTACAAAGATATTATATATATATATATATAATTTGGATATGCATCAAACATTCAACTATAGCATATTTACCAATAAATGAAGTGGTGTTATCATATATTTAATACCATGCAAATGAATAATTCTCATTTGTTTAAGCCAAAATCCAACACAGAAGTGAAAAATTATATTGCGTTGTGTGTGTGTATGTGTGTGTGTGTGTGTGTGTGTGTGTGTGTATGTGTGTGTGTGTGCCCCTGTTCTGGGACTTGAACTCAGGACCTGAGCATCTTGGTCTCCCTTGGATTTTTGCTTGAAACTGGTATTCTGCCAACTGAGCCACAGCTCTACTTCTGGCTTTTTGTGCTTAATTGCAGATAGATTTTTCTGTCCAGGATAGCTTTGAACTGCCATGTTGACATCTATATCCCTCTGAATTGCTAGGACTACCAATGTTAGCCACTGGCCCTTGTCTATGAGCTTTGAGACAGTTTCCCAATAAGTTGCTCAGGCTGGAGTCAAACTTGTAACTTTCCACCTTCTTGAGTGCATGACATTCCAAGTACTTGGAATACAAGCCACCATCATGTAGCTTGTTTTTGAATGCAATTTAAGCCAGTAATAAAAACAGGAAAGGTCTGTAAAGTATTTTGAAACAGCAAAATGCATTAAATGCATATACATATATTGGTTGGTTGTGGGGCCTGAACTTTGGGCCTGGGCACTGTCACTCACTCTTCAGCTCAATGCTAGCACTCTACCACTTGAGCCATAGCACGACTTCCGGCTTTTTGTGCGTAGGTGGTGTTGAGAAATCAAACCTAGGGCCTCATGCATACATGGGAGCACTCTACCACTGAACCACCTTCCGAGACCCAAGAAGTCATATATTTTTTTTCTATTCCAACCCAGATTTATTCTTTTTTTTTAATTGTGAAAATTGATGTAGACCAGTATAAGGGGTTACAATTACATGGGCAAGATAATGAGCACATTTTTTTTATCAAGCATTGTAGCTCCTCCTTTGTCTCCCCTTCCCATACCTTCCCATCCTCCCCCTGGCCCCCCCACCCAATCCTCCCTGCTTCCCCCGCCAAAGTTGTAACGTTCAAAGTCATATATTTTTTTTATTTTATTTGTGAAGATACTGTACAGAGGGGTTACAATTACATGGGCAGGATAATGCGTACATTTCTTACCAAGCTATTTTTAACGCTGATTTTATTCTTATAGTTTTGCAAATCAAATGTTTGAAATGATGTTTTCAAGCTAAAATCCTGGAGATGGATATGGTGGGACAAACCCTGGGCTTAGTATGTGCTATGTAAGTGTTTTTAACCTTTACAAGGTAAAAGGTATCATATCTGAGAGGTTGAGAAATTCCATTTCCTGACCTTTTTCAGCTTGTAGAAGCTGCTGGATTATATTGGCTAAGGCCTTCTTTCTCTTTTCTATCTCTGTTCTCCTCAACATATCTCTTTTTTCTCATCTTGCCTCAATTGACAACACTGTGTCTTCTCTCCATGAACATGGATAACTTCATTTATTTGACTGTTGCTTTGGTTTATTTCACCACAGCTTAGTAGTTTTCAGCATATACATCTTGCACAAGTCTTTTGTAATTATTCTGTGTGTTATAATTTTGGTAGTATAACTGGTACTTTTAATTCAAATTTCTGATGTTTGTTGAGAATGATTAGTTACTATCTGACCTTTCATCCTGGGAGTTAGGTAAGTCATCATCTTTGGGATTTTTGTATCAACAGCCATGCCATATAAGCAGTCATAATTGATGTAGACCAGTATTTTTAAAAATGAGTAGGAAGCCTATAACTTCTGTATTTCTAGTATGGGGGCTACTGAGGCTAAATAATCATTTCTGCCAGGACAGTAAGAACAGTTTGGGCAACATAGCACAAATATAAAAAAGAAAAAAATCAGAGCAAAGAAACAAAAACCAAAATGGAATAGAGGACAGCATGTCACCAAAACAAAAGGATCCTGTTATTGTAGCCATTCCTATATTTCTAAATATTACACTACAATTTAAAGATATTAATTGTTCTATTTAGGTATTTTAATTAATACAGTATAAACCAAAAAAAATCTTTTAAAAGTTTGAAAGTTTTCACATTCTGAAAACCTAGCTGAGAAAAATATCACTACAAATGGCCCATCACTATTAGTATTCTATTATTATTTTTATTATCATCATCATCTTCATCATTATTATTTGCAGCTTTTAGTTGAAGCCTTTTGATACAAGTTAGAATACCTAGTTAAAAAAAATACATGCTTAGCCCACATGACTCAAGGCTGTAAGCCTAGCTACTCAGGAGCTTGAGTTTTGTGAATTGCGATTCCAAGCCAGTCCTTGCAATAAAGTCTGTAAGACTCTTATTTCCTATTAAATAGCGGAACCTGAAAGTGGAGTTGTGGTTCAAGTTGTGGTGTTCTACCTATAAGCTAAACAGGTTAGAGACAGTGCCAGCTTGGAATTAAATCTTGGTACACACACACACAAACACACACACACACATACACACACACACACACACACACACACACACACACACACACACACACCTCCATGAAGTTTAAAAATCAGATGAAAAGTAATGCTGAAATTTATGTTACACAACCCTCTGTAAGAACCCTTCCTAGAAATATGTTATACAGAACCATTTCTACAATACATGTCTAAAATGTTCACATTGGAAACTGTCAAGGCAGGGTCAGCAGCTCACTTCTCTGATCCTAACTACTCGGGAAACAGTCCAGGATGGAGGCTTGACAGCCTTCTAGGCAGGTTAGTGAAATTTCATCTCAATCACATAACCTCCTGTAGTGGATCATGGCTGTGGTCACTGGTACAAGGGAGTCATAGGCAGAAGGATCACGGTTCAAGTTGGCCTGAAGTAGAACTCCAAATCCTGTCTGAGAATATAACTGAAACAAAGAGGGCTGGGGCATGGCTGGCACCGGTGCTATGCCAGTGCTATGAGTTCACAGGTTGAAAAAGGCACTATCAAGCATCATCTCTATTCAGAGTCAACTGAAAAAAACATCACAAGAAATACAAAACAGGAACCATCTAAAGGTGACTTATCAGAAACTGCTTTTAATGATTCTGTTTTACCCTTAGTTTGCTTTGTGGTCCACTAATGTGTACTTTGACTAAAACTAACTGCACTTTGCCTTGCTTTGGTTAAATTGTACTCTTGTTTTCTATGTGTTGATTTTAAAAGGTTTGATCTTCAATATTCTGTTCTAAACCACCTCTCTTTTCTCGAGAATGTCCCCATGCTCTTCATAGCTGGGGTTCTATCCTATTTCTCATCCTCCTCTTTATCTTTTCTTAACCCCTCCGGTTCCTGGTGAACTTTTCCTTCCAGACCATCTGTCTGGTGCTAGTGTGATCATCCCTCCTCTCTTCTTGTTTTTCTCTGTGCCCATTTGATCAGAAATATTGAAACACTTAAATGTTATTCTTTGAATAGAGTAAATTTGAAATACTAAAGTGGAACTAGCTGTTGAAGGACTCTGTTACAGATGAAGTATCTTGGTATTGAGTTTTCACCTTATGCAGGTTTCCTTCTCCATTAATTGGTTTAAAATTGACACTCTGAAGAAGTCTATGGTTTCATTCTCCTTCCATGAAAACCCTTTAAGTAAGCACAGTGTTAGAAATCAAAGTGATCCCAGATTGGCCAATTTATTATCTTCATGTAGCAGACAAAGCAACAGATTTTGTCAGAGAGTAAATTGGGTGGTTAAGTCATATACCTAGTAGATATTACAGCCAAAACAGAACTGAAGTCTTTACATTTCTAATTCAATATTTGCACCTATTCCTTAAAGCTGTTTTGATTCTACTATTAAATTTAGGGAGCAAGGAATCTAATGAAAAATCTAAAACCCTTTTTCTCCTTACCTGACATGTTGAGAGAAGGGGTAATATCAACTGGAGATACAAGGGATGAGGAATGACACTTGAGGATGTGTGGATAGCTGAAGCTAAAGAGCACGAGTGTGTCCAGTAAGGAGCTCACTGGATACTGCTCACTGGGCACTGGGCACTTGCGATGATGCAAATATTCGAAGGATGCCATGGTAACCCCAGGATTCTACTAGGTGGTGATAGGTTCGGTGGGAGAATGATGTCATTAGTTAGGCAGTTGAAAGGTCTGAAGTAGCCAATCACAAGATCAGAATCTGAACCAAAGGAAAGGATTGGATAGAGAATGGCAGAAGAGCTCTAATAACTCCTGAATGTTTGATCTCTGAATCCCTGAGGTCCTGCAAGACAGACATGATATCCCTTTCTTCTAGGCTTTTAGGTTGAGGAATCATCTCAGTGTTTCTCACCAATGTTAATTAATAAAGCTATTTATTTATTTATTGTCTGTAGTGGGGCTTGAACTCTAAGTCTGGAAGCTGCCCCTGAGCTCTTCCGCTCAAGGCTAGCACTCTACCACTTGAGCCACAGTGCCGCTTCTGGTTTTTAGATGTTTAACTGGAGAAAAGAGGCTCACTGATTTTCCTGCCCAGGCTAGCTTTGAACTATGATCCTCAGATCTCAGCCTCCTGAGTACTAGGATTGTAGGCATGCTCCACCAGCAATAAAATTATTTTTAATTTGCTTATTATATTGTACTTTCTAGTAGTTAATACTATAATTACATATTACATATACAGTCCACATGCTTGAAGAAAAAGGAAAGAGACTTTGACGTTGAAATTTTTAGTTGTTCTGAAACCATTTTAGTTGATCCAACTAGTAAACTTACAGGAACTTTCAAACACTAGAAGAATGAAAGAACTTTATCTCCTTGAAAGGTAGTGTTCATTGAGAGTGCCTTGTAGAGAACGATATGATCTAAGGCACTCGTTTTCTGTTTTCTTTTTCTTGAAATCTTTGTTATGGGTTGTTCTAGACCATATTGGACTTGAATCCTTCTGCATATTTCTCTCATTCATTTTAGGAATGGGTTTTTGGCAAAACCTTGATTTTGCATTCTTTTTTATCTTATTTTTAAATTAAATTATTGTTATTATAGAAGTAATGTACATAGGGATCACAATTAAATGAGTCAGGTAATGAGTACATTTCCTTTCATACAGTGTCTTCTGTTCCCTCACTCTCTCCCAGACTGTTCCTCCCATCTCCACCCACCAGTTGTATAGCTCACTTTCATCAGTGTCCAGTGGACTTCACTGCTATACTTTTTCACCCTTTTCCCCTTGAATTCTGTACACTTCCCCAAGCCTTCCAAAGAGGTACACTTGAAAACACCATACATAAGCTAAAGAAGACAGAATAATGAAGAACTAAAAACTAAAAAGGAAGGAAGGGAGGGAGGAAGGGAGGGAGGAAGGAAGGGAGGAAAGGAGGAAGGAAGGAAGGAAGAAAAGAAGGAAGAAAGGAAGGAAGGAAGGAAGGAAGGGAAGGAGGGAGGGAGGAAGGAGGAAAGAAGGGAAAAGAGGGCTCTTGTCTCATATTTTGGAGTTGTTTCAGTATAAATATTATTTTATATAAATATGAAGAAGCACTTATGCATTGCACTCTTGTGTGTCTCTCCTTAGAGTATCCTCTTTTGGTCTCACTGTGTGTGAATATCTAGAATCTTGTATAATTTATTGTATCCCAGTGCATTTTATATCTAATTTCTGCACACCAGAGAGAACATGTGCAGTTTGTCTCACTTAACATGATTTATCCTAGGTCCATCCATTTCTCTGCAAATGACATTATTTTATTCTTTCAGGTGGTTGTATAAAATTCCATTGTGTATAGGTACCATACTTTTTGTATCCACTCATCCATTGTGGGGCTTCTGGGCTGTTTCCATATCCTGCCTAATATGAATACTGAAGCAATGAACATGGATGTGCTGGAATCCGTATCATACCCTGGCTCATGATGTTCTGGGTAGATGCCCAGGAGTGGTATGGCTGGGTCACATGGAATATCTATGTTTAGTTTTTTGAGGAACCTCTAGACTGCTGTCCAGAGTAGTTGTACTAGTTTATTTATATTCCCACTAACAGTACAATAGAGTTCCTTTTTCCTCACATCCTTGCCAACATTCATGTTCAAATTCATGATGTTGTCCAATCTTACTGGGGTGAAATGGGAATCTCAGAGTTTGTTCTAATTTGCATTTCCTTTATGGCCAGGGATGATGAGCATTTCCTCGTGTGTGTGTGTGTGTGTGTGTGTGTGTGTATGTGTGTTGCCATTCTTGCCTCCTCTTCTGAGAAATCTCTGCTTAGCTCCCTTCCCCATTTAGTGATTGATTTATTAGGTTTTGGAGGGGTTAGGTTCTTAGCTCATTGTATCTATTGGATATAAGGCCTTTGTCTGATATATTGCTGGTAAAGATCTTTTCCCAGCAATTCATATTTTTTTTTCTGGATCATGTGGCCTGAGGTTTTTTTGATCAAGGCTGGTGTTCTACTACTTGAGCCATAGTTCCACTTCTGATTCTTGTTGGTTAATTGTATATGAGTCTTTTCACAGACTTTCCTACCTAGAATGACTTTGAACCATGATCCTCCTGAGTAGCTATGATTACAGACATGGGCTGCTAGTGCACCACTAGATTTTGCATTCTCATGCTAATAGATGTCAACGCCTAGAGGCAGAGGTCTTTTTTGCATACGATACTTTGAAAACTAGTTTCTGCCCATTAAAAGCAAATACTAGAGAAATGGAAGACCCAGATGAATGCAGACTTTACTCCTTTCTGACTTAAAAAATATTTATTGTAAAGGTAATGTACAGAGGTGTTACTTAAGTCAGGTAATGAGTACATTTCCTTTTGAACAGTGTCACCTCTCCTTCATTCTCTCCCAGTTTTCCCCCTCTCCCCACTCCAAGTTGCATAGTTCTTTTCCAACATAGTGTCTAGTGAGTATCACTGCTGAATTTGTTCACCCTTTATCCCACCATTTCTGTGCTTTGCCTTCCTCTCCCCAATCAGATAAACATACAAGACAAAGGAATCAAAAACAGTGACAAAGGGGAAGAAACAAAAGAAAAAGGGAAAGAAAGAAAAGAACAGCAAATAGTACCAAAAACCCTCCTGCTTCCATTTCTTGGAGTTCATTCTGATACCTATCATTTTACATGGTCCTATGTGCATAGCTATTGAGCCGTTGTGGATCCTCTACTAAGAATATCCTCCGTAGTTCTCACTGTGTGAATGTTTAGAGTACTGTTAATCGTGTTCTAGTGTAATTACTTGTCTTTTACTATCTAATGTGGGCTGCATGCCTTCCCTCATTTGTAGTAATTAGGATATGCCTATACATATTTGACTTTAAACAAGATTCTTTAGCTCATAATTTGTCGCCCCTTACTTCCTTGGATATCCATGCAGATACCCACTGTCTGGTTCTTTCATATGCCAGAAGCATGGAGGGAGACTATTTTGTCTCTTCTATAAATGAAATGAGGGTGGCAGTTACTGTAGCTTCCTTCTCCTTATCAACAACTACTATGGAATCCTGAGGCTCTTGTATTCTCTGTCTGCCATGCCTAGCTGCAGTCAGGCAAAATGGAGAGCATAACGAAGAGCACAGGCAAAGTATGCATACGGGAGAAAAGAGGGTCATGTGGCCAGGTTTATTTTTGTTTTTGTTTTCCTGAAATGAGTTAGTACTTTTGTTCAGAAATGAATCAGAAGTCTGTACAATTAAGGGGAATATATTTAAATAATTTTTAAATCATTATGATAAAGGTGATATTCAGAGGGGAAATATTTAAGAGGATGTATTTAGGAAGATAAATATAGTTTTTTCCTTGTGTGTCTTATGTCAAATAACTCATTTATGCTATTGATTAGTATGTTAGAGACTTTGCATATTCTCAAAAGTTCCACTTTACCTATTATATCTTCTTGGTTTATATAAGGAATCCAATACAGTTAAGACCTATTGCTTTTGTTTGATTGTATATTTGTTTCTATATTGAGGCTTCAACTCAGAGGATGGCTACATCCCTTAGCATTTTTGCTTAAGCCTGGTGTTCTACCACTGGAGCCACAGCTACATTTTCAGCCTTTTTTTTTTTTAATGGGGATAGATTTTTTTTTATAACAGTGTGCTGGGCTTTCCTGATAGGCTGATAGTATTTCCTGATAGTATTTGAACTGTGATCCTCAAATCTTAGTTTATTATGTAGCTAGAATTACTGTCTTAAGCTATAGGTACCTGGCAAACTCTTTATTTGAGGCTTTGAACTCTGATCCACTCACTGTTGCTTGTTTTTCCAGCCCAAGACTGACTTCTACAACTTGAGCCACAGCTCCACTTCCAATTGCATGTTTTTCTCAATGCAATTATTTATTTTGAAGCTGAGTAAACAAACTTGGATTTTGTTGAAAACAAAGGTTAGAGAAAAGGCACTGTTATAAGTTGTGCTGTGCAAACAAGAATATGGAGCACATTTTGTAGAAAGATAGCCAGCTTGATCTGGTTTGTCTTTGCTTCCCATCGCCCAGTTAGTGCTTTGTCTTATGACTTCACTTCTTACTCCTCACTAACTTCCCTTAGGCTGTGATAAACTGAGTAAGGCTGAGTTTCTCACAAGAGTGAGAGCTGACTCAGCATAGGAAATCTATGGCAGAATCATTTTCCTTTGTGGTTAGTTTTAAGAGATGCTTACACCATTCCAGCTTAGTGCTGCAATGTGCTCAGTGCTAGGGCACTCACTCACTATATACTATATAAAGAGTATGTGAATAGACAAGCACTTAGGTGGGCCTTCACAGATAAATTTCTTCATCTCTTCCAATGTTGCTTTCAAGTATTTTGAGATATGAAGTCTTTGAACGATTCTGTGTTGGATGAAGCTTGTTGGAGAAGAAACTGTGGAGGACTTAACAATCTAGAGATGTGGCCTTCAAATATATAAAGTTTTAAAGGTTTTGTTTTCTCCTAAGCTCAGTTTCATACTTCAAATAGACTAATTCCATCATATTAGTACATAATTCAAAGCTAATAACATATACTTAATATCATCAAGCCAGATCAATACCTATTGGAAATCAAGGAACTCTCTAGCTACCACTGGAAGGAATGTGAGATTCAGAGGAATCTGGTGCGTTATTCAGCAATCTCTTATTGTACAAACCCTAAAGACAGTCCCTGGACTGACAAATTTCAATTCTATATAGACATATGTGGATTAGATTGTCCTGGTCCCCAGTTACTGCAACTCTTCTCTTTCTTTTTATTTCTTTGAAGATTGACCAGAGGAGAATTTCTTGGAGGACATATAGACAGAAGATTGTTCCTGTGGCAGCAAGATCAGTTAAGTCCCCACAATTGTGTCATAAGAAAAGGAATAAATATGGAGTCTAGGACAAAACAAATATCATTCTTATTGAAATTAACTGGTTGATCTTAACATGAAACTATCAAGCATATTCTGGAGCAAGGATCCAGAATATGTGAGTTCCACATACCAGTCTATTGGTTTGTCTACTTGTAGTTGCTGAGAAACAATACAGGAAAACCAACTAGCATTGTCTTTATGGTGATTATTTCTATGTAAAGATGACTTTATTCCTGTCTAGGTAAGTCGGTATTGTCCTTGATAATAACAGGCTCAACTTCATGAGGCTCAACCTCATGAGCTTACCCCTTGGGCCCAACTTCTGCAATATTCCCTGCATCTGTGTATGGTTTATGTATTGGGTAGACAGCATACCAGGAGGCCCTCTGTTCAAATTAGCAGCACCACAGCCACAGTAAAGGCCTATACACAAAAGAAACAGGTGTAGTAGAAACAATCTTTGTTTTTATTCTTATATTCTTTGGGTATATTTGTATTATCTTTAAGTAATTGTACAAAAGCAGTAGCAATCATCTGTTTCCTATCCAAAGTCCAAGAAACCAAACCAATGGCTTAGTATTTGTACATTAAAAGGAGATACAGCCTGATTTTGGATGCTTGTGTATGACATGAGATGTGTGACATATCAACATTCCATGTTTTGTCTTGAAAGAAGAAAATGCCTCATGAGGGTAGGGATATGCTGTGACAATGGGTGAGAAAATGTATGGTTGGTGGGGACTAATCAAGGTCAATCCAAGGCTGTAATGATAAATCTGCTCCATTAGACACCATGGCTATAATATCTGATCAAAAGGATGGGTGTTTATGAAGGTTTTCTCAACCTGATGCAGAGGGCTCTTCAAGACAGGAGGCCAACTCTGATACCACAAAGTATTTTCATTAGCTTATTTGGGTCACAAGCCATGATCACAGGAGAACAGAGCAACAGAATCCAAAGTGACCAAGTTAGGAAGGCCAGAGTCTCCTAATACACTAAGAAAGAATGGACCCATTCCCAGAGTGACACTAAATTGTCCTTTACCTTGGATTTCATTGGTGACAGCAGAACTCTCTGTGTACTTGAGCATATTGAATCGAGGGCATAGCCTGGACCTTGGTGTTCTATGGAGTCAGGGCCAAGCACATGGTAATTCCCTTTTCTCTCTAGTTGCAGTCACTTAATTCTATCCTGCATTCTCAGCATCATCTTAACCACTAACATTCATCTTTGTGTTTGTGCCTGTGTTTCTTTTTTTTAATACATTTTTTATTGTTACAGTTGCATGAGCAAGGTAATGAGTACATTTCCTATCAAACACTGTTGCTTCCTCCTTTGTTTTTCCCCTACCATCCCTTCTCTCCCTCCTTCACAACTACACTCCTCCCCCTCCCTCCCTCCCTGCTTAAATTGTAAAGTTCGGTTTTCAACGTAGTATCTTGTACATCTCATTGTTACAATGGGTCAACGGTATCCCTATTTAAACATTTTGTTTTTTCCCTTCCCCTCCCCAAGATAGAGAAGTATATATAAAAGATGCAGGGCACACTTCAAATACAGTGAAAACAGGTGTTATACTGTGGGGGAGGAACATACAAAGAAAAAAAAAGTACATGGTACATTATAAATATGTTAGAAACAATAGCAAGAAAGAAAAAAAACCACTGTGTCCCTATCTTGGGGTTCATTTTGCTTAACATCATCTTATCTGGTCATATGTACATAGCTTTTGACCTTTTCTGCTTGTCACAGACATATACTAGTTATTGCAAATAAGGGAAACCATAGGACCTATGTTTCTTTGGGCCTGGCTTACTTCACTTAATATAATTTTTCCAAGTCTTTCCATTTCCTAACAAACGGGGTGATGTCATTCTTTCTGGTAGAGGCATAGAATTCCATTGTGTGTGTGTGTGTGTGTGTGTACACCACATTTTCTTGATCCATTCATGTATCTCTGTTTCTGTGTGTGCTAGCACTGGAGATTGAACCTGAAGCATGGGATAGATGCTGTTCTTGAGCTTTATTGCTCAAGGCTAGTGCTCTACCACTTCAGCCACACCTCCACTTCCTAGGGATGTACATCTGTATTTTGTATCCATTAGGACAACCAGTGTGTGCAACACACCCAGACCATCTATTTCAGAGCCCCTTCCTTATTCTTTTCAGTTTTAATTCAAGACTTGAAACCTTCACACTCCTATATGGTCTGGGGCACTCTACCAGTGTTAGTGCAAGCTGTTGATCTGCTTACTGCTCCAAATGTACCTTATTCCCATATTTTCTATTTGGTACTGTAATATGTATTGGAAACACATTCTTTTACTGCTCCTTGGAGTTGTTCCCATATAAAATGCTTCTCTTTACCTTTAGAAACTTGCTTCTGCTTAGGTCTGAATTTTTTTGTGTCAACCGTAACCAAGCTGTTCTTAGCAAATTTGAGACCAATTTAACGTTTCTCTTCTCTGAAATATTTATGTCACCATTTGTTGCTTTAGTCAGGTTTATAAATATTCATACGCTTTGTTCTTTTGGACCATGATGTGACTATCAACTATTTTCATATATTACAAAAAGATTCATTGATAATATCAAGTCAAGCATTGAGTGTGCTTAATAATAAGTTGTCAAATGATGTTATCCTAACTCTACTTTTTCTTTTTCAAACTAGCAATTTACTAATATTGATTGGCCATTTTGAATTAGGGCACATTTTTTAGAATTGTATTTAAGGTTGGTTTGAAAATGACTGTCTTTGTTAAAGCTAGTAATCTCTCTTTTTGCCCATTCATTTATTGCTTTGTTTGTTTCTGTTATAACTCTGACTTTTCTATCAGTGTATCCAATTGTAAAAATTGTGAAGATTACTATCAAAGAATATGAGGTACATTTAGAAATAGAAACTAGACAGGAGGTGGTGGCTCATAGCTCAGTCCTAGCCACTCAGGAGGCTGAGATCTAAGGATCATCATTCCATACAAGTTGCACAGAAAAATCTGTGAGACTCTTATCTCCAATTAACCAAAAATGCCCGTTAGTGCTGTCCTTGAGTACAAAAACTAAAGGACTGCTCAGGCCTCTTGTTCAAGCACGATATAAACACAAAATATCAAGAGCAGAGGCATTTTCTTTTGGAGAAAGCACTATTCTATCACTACGTTGTACATTTAAGATTGCAATTTAGTAATTTTCTCTTTGTGACCCTTCACCCTCTTTCTGGTACTTTGTACTCCTTTTCTGTCTTCTCTCAGAACACACTAACCACTCTTCCTCCAATTGCCCTTTGAGTCAACTCTGCAATTGGGCACAGGTTGCGGTGGCTTAGAAGGTGCCTCCCTGCGCATGCACAAATGCTGGCCATCTCAGCTGGGAATTGATATTGGGAGCAAATTATTTGCATGCTATTCCTTTCCTGGGACTAGTTACTTATGGCAGCACCCACCAGAATAAGTAGTGCAGGACATGGGCCCTCGGTTTTGTATTTACTCCACTTCACATGTTTAATTTTGTACATCCCTACACTCCAGATTTTCTGATCAGAAAGCCATGTTGAACCTCTAGGAGCACTTGCAATCTCTGAAGACTACAGAGACTCAAACCTCCAAGGGAAGCCTTGAACCTTTGCACATGATGTGATCCCAGCCTACTGCACAACCTCACTAGTCAAGTGGAATGGTGATATTTGCCTTGTGTGTTTGAAGGTTAATAGAAGTAACACATTTTGCTGCCTTAGGCTTGGGCACTAAATAGATAAAGGTCATTGATTGTGAGGCAGTGTTCTGGATGGACTTTATGCTGCTTCAGTTGTCTTGGCTAGGCCCCAAGTTAGCTGCTTCCCTCAGGTTAACCATGACCCCCTTTCCCTTCTGTGGTAGATTTCCCCCATACTATGTATGCGACTGTCCCATTTTTAGTCTTTGATAAATCATTTTTGTTGAAGTCTGTACTGAATCTTTTCTTTCCTATATTGTAGTACTGGAGCTAGAACTCAGGTCTAGTGATCTGTCACTTAACTTTTCCCTCAAGGCTGGTGCTCTACTGCTTGAGCCATAGTTCTTCTTCCAGGTTTTGGCTGGTTAATTTGACATAAGTGTCACAAGTCTGTTTAACCTGGCATTGAAAAAGAATCTACAATTTTCAGCTTCTTGAGTAGCTAGGATTACAGACTTGAGCCATCAGTGTCTGGCTCCTAAAGTGTTTTTAATCTGGTGCATCATGAAACATAAGGCTATTCTCCATGAGAGAATAGCCTTGAGAAATAGCTCTGCATTTCTCAAGTCCAACTACATCCATCTTCTGCTATTTTTAACATTTTCTAAGTGCTGTCCTTTGCATTTGAACCTTTATCTTGCTTCTGCCATTTTGCCCTTTCATGATTCTTCTAATAAACCTATATAATCTGTTCTTTTTGTCTTCCTACTTCTGGACCACATTCTTTCTCTGTCTTTAATTTTCCTTTCTGTACCCAGTTCTCCCACCCAAGTTGAAGTTTCTTCTTTCCAATTCAGTCTTTGATCCCCACCTCTGTGCAAAAACAATGTAAACTTTAGTGACCTTTTAAAATTCAAATGACTTCTTCATTAATCATCAATTAATCAATTGTTAGGTACCATGGTTTGTTCACTTTTATCAAGTTTTAAAATGTATCAGAATAGAGAATTTTTTTCTATCATTATTTTTGTACCTAGACAAATCTGTATATCTTTATATGGCAATATGAGTGTCTATATCTATTTTTTTCTACATGTAGAAATATATCTGGTACTCAAAGTGGTACCCACACACATTCTCAGCAGGTTTTATACTAAGAAGATTTGTTAACATTAGATTTTCATTCTTCTGACACAATTATTCTGCCCATAGTTTGCTACCCCTGGTTCCTTAAGCCATGCGGTATTCCCAACCTCTGGGTTTTTCATCTGCAAGAAACCCATTTGTCTGTTGTTGTATCTCCTTCCCCCTTACAAATAACTATTACAAAATCCTGGGCCTCTTGCGTTCTCTGTCTGCTATGCTGGCTGCAATGTCACAGAAAGTAGAAAGCAACATAAGGGCAAGTAGACGCTAGTGGAGTACATGAAAAGTGGGTGGCCGGAAAGAAAGAGATCCCATGGGTTCTTTTTTTGTTTTGTTTCATGAGAAACAATTCAACACAATTTGGCTCTATTTTGTGTTAACAATTCAAATATTTGAGTATTTTAAGTCCAGAAACTTCTATAAATTTTGTACCCTGAAGGGAAAAAATCTTAATAAATATTCAATATTTTTCATTTTGTTATATGTTACACTTATGTGATTCTTCATTTGTATGGTTTTAGAGTATGGATTGCTTTCAAACGTTTTGTGTAACCACTTTTCTTTGTCATATTTTTATGGAATCTAGCATGGAAAGACATGCTACATTCTTTTGTGTCTGTTGTGAAATTTGAACTCAGGGCTTACACAATATTCCTTATCATTTTTGCTTAAGGTTGACAGCGAACCACTTGAGCCACAGTTCCATTTCCTGGTACTTTCTAGTTAATTTGAGATAAGAGTCTCATGGAGTTTTTTGCCAGGCTGACGTTACACTGCAATCCAATGCTATCCACCAGGACTAGGATCATGAACCATCAGCATGCAGGAAACTTTGTTCTGGGGGCAGGGGAGAATGGGGTTGACACTCAAGGCCTCACAATGTTGCTTGGCTTTTTTCTACTGAATGCTGGCCACAGTAAAGCCACAGCTTTACTTTCAATTGCATGAGGTTTTTTTTGTTGTTGTTGTTTGTTTTGTTTTGTTTTGTTTTTGTCTGTCATTGGGCCTGAACTCCGGGCCTGGGCACTGTCTCTCAGCTCTTTTTTGTTTAGTTTTGTTTTGTTATTTGGCCACTTTCTTTTTTTTCTTTTTTTAATATTGTGAAAATACCATACAGAGGGTTACAATTACATGGGCAAGGTAATGAGTACTTTTCTTACAAGCATTGTTGCCTCCTCCTCTGTTTCTCCTTCCCATCCCTTCCCATCTCCACCTCCTCCACCCCCCCCTGCACCGCCAAAGTTGTAAAGTTCATTTTTTGCCATAATGTCTTGTACATCTCATTGTTGCAAT